GATGGACGAGTTCCTTTAATGTAATCAACTTCTACCATTATCTCATTCCTATACTGTTATAAATGTTGCCCTCTGTTCTTTTACATAGTAACTAAATTGCATGGACAGTCAACATCCAGTTTAAGTGGTCGATTTTTCCCCTTCACAAAAACATTTTTGGCAGGGACCTTTCAGATTGTCTAGCACTAAAATGTCTTTTAATTAGGCATACCATCCTCAATTGGATAGTCAAACAGATGTAGTAATCCCAATGTTGAAACAATACTTGTGACAATCGTCCAAAGCGTTAGTTGCATTGGCTTTCACAGATAGAGTATTGCTAAAACACCACTTCTTTCAAGGTAGAGTATGATGACCTCCTTCGTTGCTCTCTTACTGCCCAAGGGCAACAAAGTTTTAAGTTATTCCTACAGAACTCCAGGCCCATTTACTACAAGCACAAACTGCTGTGAAATTCTCTTATAAAAATCACCACTGCAGGGTCAAATACAATGTGAAGAACCAAGTGCTCAGACCCCCTTCGCCAACTATCATTAGATGCTAGGGACCTAAAAAGCTCACGACCGAGTTATGTCGTCCTTCTTCCATCCAAAAATAACTGGAGAGGTAGCTCACAAGTCGAACTTGTCCATAGTAGCTATTATTCATATACTCTATCATGTGCCTTGCTTAAAAAAGTTTGATGGGGCTAAGCAGGTGAAATCGACCTTACCACCAAACCATTTGGGAAAATTATCCATGTTCCTCAAGTAGTACTTGACCAATGATTCTGTGCAAGTAAATGTGCAATTCCAATTAACTGAGAGATTCCTTTCTATTAGGTGCTTCATAGAAAGAGTTCTCCAATTTGCTGTAGCGATATTTGCATTTGGTGCTTGAAGACAAGTTCCTTTTGAAAAAAGGGGCTAATGTCACATCCATGAATGTCAAGGCAAACTAATTTACCAGCTTGGCGTTGCAAAACCCACAAAAAACAAACAACAGATGTAGCTTTAGCTTCTTCCTACAATTTTTGGTCAGTCAAAAAAGAAAGATTGCTCTTTGGCATAGACTTTTGAACTACCTTTAGCTTAGAATTTTATATTAGCTTGTATTAGTCTCTTACTAGGAATTAGAGTGCTTCCCTAGAAATTGAGGGTTCTCTCTGACGAGCCAAAGCCCATAACAAGGTCATTAAGGTCCGTAAATAAAACTAACATGCTCTCACTTTTTAGACAGCATTTAGGTTAATAAACTAGTGATCGGATCCCCAACCCAGGACCATAATAAACTTCCATCAGAATGAAACGATAAGGTGGAATAACCATTTATCTATAGACCTATGCAAAGAAAATGCCACAACTACGCAAACTATTTGGTTTGAAATATGAATTGAAACAAACCTCGTGGTGGGTCAGAACACTCTGTTGATCTTCCTTTTGCCGCTATTTCACTAGCCTCCAGTTGTTCAGCATCATCAGTTTGGTTACTGTCCCAATTATAACAATTTCTGACTCCATCTTTCTCTATACTAGCAACAGGCCTTTTGACCAAAGAAAGTTTGCAGAAGTGATATGCATCTGTCTTGATTGTGAGTAAAGGGTCCCTAAATGCAAAAGCAACAGTTTAAAAGTCAAGAGCAAACCAAAAGGACATTCTATACATTTTTTAATGATGAGATTACGTACGTGCTAAGCTACTAAGGTTTGTAAATGCTTTCAAAACTACATTTCCTAAATTGACCAATAATATCTTGCTGGTCGTCATATTCATAGACAGTTAGTGGAGAAGCAAGAAAAAATTATTACACACCTGGAGAAAGCTCCATCTCCAATGTCCCAGCATTTTATGGTTCCATCCCTACCCTGGCTATGTAAATCAAAATAATAATTTACATAGAGACTTTGATTTCCATCAGATGTGCATATTATTAAACATTTGACCTGTGAATAAAAAAGAATTTGTCCTCTGTGTATAAACCACTAAAATCATGAAAGAAAAATAAAACTCACCTTACAACCTTGTTGTTTCCAATTGAAAGACTACTTGCCACTGCTATAACCCCATGTGCTGCACTATGGACCCTATGACCAGCAGGCAGTCATCAAAGCATAATTCAAAATCATTAAGAGGTAGGTTGCTGTGTTTAAATAACAACCATGCAGAAGTAAGTGTACGGTGTTGAATTGTATCCCAAATCCGCAGCTCACCATCTGTTGAACTGCAAAAGAAACCTTACACTTAAACAGAAATTTAAAAATAATAATAACAATAAGGCATAATGAAGATATAAATAACAAAATGCAATAGCAAGTTAATCATTTACCCTGTGAATGCTAAAGGCCTAGATGGATGAAAACACACATCCATAACAGAAGCGCGATGACCTCTTAATACCGCTATGGGATCCGGAGGTGGTCTCTTGCCCATTTCTCCACGCATCAGCTGAATAGAAGTAGAAATTTAAAATTTAGCTAAATGAAACTAATTATTTTTTAAAGGCCCTAAAGCTGTTTGTTTTTTCAGTTAAAAGAAGACAGAGTTGATAGGAATCCTATTTAATAGTTTTTAAAGGAGTTAATGAGATAAGTAAGGAATTTGCCAGGAATTTGCCAAATCACTTATAACCCCTCAACCTTCCCAAATATTCAATTCCACAAATTGGTGGATTAGGACAGATTCATATTTATCTAAACCTACTTCTTTTGTTAAAGTTCCTAATTGCCATTTTTGTTGTAATCTATAACATCCTTGTGATAGGTAATAGTATTTTTCTCATATCTGTAAATTTCTAGTTACTCTCTTCAATCATTCAAGATGACCTTTATCTTTACCATAATCAAATTTCAAACAAGATTTAATGATGTTAAAGAAAGTGTATTATATAAATTAGGTTAAAGGATATAAGGGTAAAACACACCATATATAATTAATTTTTTATCTTCTTTTCTATCAATAAAATCTGTATATATAGGGTTGTGATATTCAATAAAATACATTCAAACCATTATTAATATGGTATCAGAACTTTAGGTTAAGAAATCCTATACTCTTTTAACAAATCCTACACGGCTTTCGTTGCTAAAATAAAAAACTCTAAGAAGACAGCCTTTATTGCAGGACCCTCCGTCACCAAACAGCTGGCCACCACAGAACAGCAACCAACCACAAAAATCGATCTTCATCATCCAGCAGCTCAGCCGCACCTCAGACCCATCTACATTCCTCCATCCGCATCTCCAGGTTCTGTCCACACAGCATAGGCCGCTCCGTTGAACTTTTGTCTAGCCGCTCCCCTGCACGTTTGTCTAGCTACTCCCATACAGTCAACCTGATTCAATCTCCTCTCTCAGCTGATTATCCTAGCGAAGAGGAATTTAACAGAGCTTTTTTTTTGAAATAAAGTGAAGTATTATTATGCATGAGTTACCAATGGGGTACCGTGCATATACAAAATAGTTACAAATCTATCAATTGGTCGATTACCGCACCCATATCATTTAGGTCTTTAATATCATGAGCCAACAAGATAGATCCAAAAATGTATATCCATCTATCCCTAATGTTACCAAAGTTAGTCTCTACCCCCTCAAAAGCTTTAGCATTTCTTTTTTTCAAAATCACCCAAAAACTAGTAAGTGAAATAAGCAATAAATATCTCCCCTTTTCTTTACACAAACCCTCCCAAGCCCAAAGTTCATTACTTACACTACCCGCCATACCTCAATCCACCCCAATAAGCCTCAGAACAGAAGATCAAATGCTGTAAGTGACAGGGCAGCCCAATAACAAGTGGTAACAGGTCTCCTCATTGGCTTTGCATAAGAAGCACCTGTTAATCAGCAAATTCCCTCTTCTTCTAAGCATGTCAATTGTTAAAATCCTCTCTTTAACCGCTTCCCAAGCAAAAAATACGATTCTGGGTGGTGCTTTAGATTTCCATATTCATATGAAAGGAGCTGAATAGTTGTTGTTGTTCTCTCTCTTAGTAATAAATTCATAATATGATTTAATAGAGAAGCCCCTCTTTTTGTCTAACTTCCAAATTCTTTCATCCTTATTCTTAGCAATATTAATATTAGATAAACACAGCAACATCTCTACATACTCCTCCACTTCCCAATCCCCCCCTCCACCCCACCAACCTCATAGGCTTCCTTCACCCTCACCTCCTTGTCGCTGGCCACAGAGAAAATTCTTGGAAATTTCTCTTTTAGTTTGAACTCTCCAGCCCATTCATCCAACCAGAATTGAATATCCTCTCCATTACCAACCTGCCAGCCTAAACATTTCTCAAAAGTGTTGCTTCCATCCCTGATTTTTTTCCATAACCCCATCCCAATCTGTCTGAACTTACCCCTCCTCCCACTCTCCCCCTCCCAATCGCCCCATCTCGCCCTAATAACTTGCTTCCACAACCGCTCCTCTATAGAAAACCTCCAAAGTCATTTTCCTTGGGAGAGCAGTGTTCATCTCTCTAATAGATCTTATCCCTAACCCCCCTTCTCTAATGGGCCTCTTCACATCTTTCC